TTAACAGAAGACATTTCTCTTTGCCTGTTAATAGGGACAGAACTGGATAGCCACTGAGTGAGCCAGAATTTAGAGTCAAAAGGAGTTTGTCACCTCATGTCTACAAACATCAGTTATCCCAAATTTGGGCTACAGGGCCTACTTCCTTCAGCAGCAGAATATGACATTCCTTGACCCTGTTTCTCAGGCAGACCAGGTCTCATTGTTACAAGGCTAGAGTTACCAGGGAACCCAAGCCTTGCTTTTAACACAGTTTTCAAAATTGTCTTTAAATGGACAATTTTGGTTCCTGTCAAGCCTCTAAATGAGACAACACCAGAGAACCTGATATTCAGAACTTTAACCTACTGCTCTTAAAAGTTTCTTTGGTTAATATACTTGACAAGGTAATTGAGCACTTTTAACAAGGGAGACTACTCATCTCTTTAAATTTGTCAAAATTAATGATTTGGCATATAGAAGACTGCAAATTAGCTTGAGCGCAGGGACCACTCCGAGAAAGCTTTTGTTGCCAATAAGCCACTATAAATCAGCAAACTGAGTAGGCAAAAAACTGTAATAAGAGACATTCAGCATCTCTTAACTGACGTGCCCAATTCAGGAATTCTTTGTTCTGCCTTAAACAAACTTAATTAGGCTAATCTCATCACTGAAGTCTGTCAGCTTCTTTTTCTAGTCAGTGTAAAAAACCACCTAGTCTTTTTTTTTTTTTAAACACTTTTTGAGACTTTAAAGTGTTTTAACTAAAAAAGCAACCCTAAATATTAGTGGAATAAATTGACACATTTTAAGCAAGTTGGGGGCCTGCCCTTTGAAACTGCATATTCTTATCTTGACCCAAGAAGCACTTATTGCAAGCCTGAGGTGGTACAGGCTAAAAAAAGACTGAATAAATTTTATGTTCATGCAAGGCATTTTGTGAGATTTAGATAATCATACCTGCATATGTCAGGTTGCTGATGGAACAAATTACACTATTACTCTTTGCAATCAGATATATATAGTGATGATGATTCATTCTGCCTCCCTCTAAAACAAAAGCTTACAGCTCCAGTGGTGGTGAGAGTATCCTGCTTACATGGGGGTAAATGCCACTAAAACATTGCTTCCTAGAAGAGCAGTGCATTCAGAGAATAATATTTGGGTGCAGCACACTGTAGCCACATGAGACAGACAGCTTTACTTCCAGCTGTTTAGTGCCAATAGCTTGGGCTTGCTAAAAAAAAACCCCAAACCAAACCACCATCACTTGACAACATCAACACATTGATACTAGATCAATTTAGAAGTACACGGTGAGGTAGTTCAAAGAAAGGATTTGTTTTACAGTCCTGTATCAGTCACATATCTTTCCTCCGCATTATCTCTCACCATACCAGAACAGGTAGTTCCCTAAACTGCTTCTAACAAGTACGTTTAGGAAGTGAACCTACTTTTGGAAAAATATAAGTCAATCATGTATAGCACCCGGCACTCAAGTCAGAATATTTTGTGAAGGGAAAAATCATCTTGAGCTCACACTCCCCATTCATACATATCTCTAATATTTAGTTAATGGCAATTAAACAGATATCACAAGTTTAATTAGCTTTGCTGCAGCTAGGAGAAACTAATTTCACAGTTGCATGGGGGAAATGCATCCGTGCAGTACAATGGTTTCAGTACAGTGCATATTTTCTTACCTGCAAACACCGCACAATACACCATGTTCAGCTCGTGCAGAATTTCCAGAGGGAAAAAGTATTTGCTGGATGCTAGTAGAGCAAGTAACCTCGCTGCCCTAGCTAATCTATGGACATCCTCTCCTTTCTAATCCGCAGAAACCTAACCTTAGAACTACTCATTACCAGGGAGAAGAGGACAAATCCCCTTAACCCTTTTATTGCATAAAGAGCCTACTTTAAGTTTTCTCTTCAGTAGTTTCTTATTCTCAGCAACTTTCTGAGTCAATAGGACACTTGTCTCTTAAGGTCCGTCTTCAGCTAACCACGCCTGCAATTACAGTGAGATTCCGTAATACTGTAAACACTGATGGTCTGCTGCTGCTTACAGGATTTCTGCTGCAGCACAAGAAATATTCAGCTTTCAATTTAAGGAAAAAAAGAAGAAAAAACCCAAGATGAGAAAAAAGTAATTACCATGAAGCAATACAGCCAAAGAAGTCCTGCAGGTTAACTCATTTTGTTGCCAGCTACAGAAATACACAAATCAAAGCTGGTCTCTAGTGATTTCCTAATGCACCACAGCCCACATAGGCTGTGAAGTGGAATCTGTGTCAGAAGCACATTTAATCCTAGGATTCTCTTCAGCTAATAACTGAGCTATATATCAGAAAGACCAAAAATAATCCAGCCCAAGCTGTCTGCTTTCATTAATCAGTAAGCTAAATTCATATGTGATATAACTACTTCTTATATGAGGTTGTATATACACACACACATATAGATGTAAAGGTAGATGTATTCTTTGTTTCTTTAATTCTCAACTTTGCATCACTCATACTGAATGAAGTTAAACATTTGAAGCTGTTACATATTTGTAGGTACATCTCCTTCTTGAAAGGCAGGAAGATGATGGAAAAACTTCCCATCTCTAGTTATTCTCAGTTTAGGGCACCAAAACAATGTAGGAGTAAGGTCATATGAAATAAAGCTTTTCATATGTCAAAGGTGAAGATTAAAATCCTTCCTTTCTTCTGAAACATCTGAAGGCAAACACAGTGAACAGTTACATAGGAAAACAGCCCCAAACTTGTTTCAATGATTACACTCACAAAAGGTGAAATAAATCCTGAATTCAGATCTTTGCAGATGAAAATCATTACTATTCATTTATTAAGCTGTTCAGCACAGCTCCTTTTCAAAGAACAGTTCTGCTCCTACAGGTTTCAGATAAATACTTTCTGTACATTGAATGCTAAAAGATGATTGCATGGAAAGACTGCATCTAGCGCAAAAGATTAAGTGTTCAAATTCCTGCCTTATACCTTATGATACTCTCCACCTTTAGTTGCGTGTTTTCCCCCCTTCTCAAATTAGCTTTTTACAGCTTCCCTTTTATTCATGTTATTGCTTATCTCTCCCTGTATTACTCAGTATAAAAATAAGATTAAGCTAACAAAAAATTATTCGCGAACATGAAGTCTATTATCTCTATAGTCTGTTGGGAGTATAAAAAAATATAACAATAGTTTTAATCATCACCTTACCAGAATTACTCTTTCCTGGGTTAAGCTGAGACAGAGTTAACTTTCTTCATAATAGCTAGCAAGAGGCTGTGTTTTGGATTTGTGCTCAGAAGAAAGCTGATAAAAAGTGATGTTTACGTGGCTGCCAAGGTGTTTCAGCTTCTCTGGCTGTCTGCAAACAGGAGAAGCTGGGAGGGAGCACAGCCCCAGTTACTAGCCTAGGATTTGATCTTAGGTTTGGGACTGAGACCCAAAGTGGCCAATAATCTATTCCATAACATACACGTCATGCCCAGTATATAGGTGAGGACTCTACAGAAGATCGGCCCTTTTTGCTTCTGGATCTCGTTTGCTCCGGGTCATCTCACTGCAGGTGGTCACTCTCCCAAGGCCTTACGCCCCCCACCCCAGTCAGCTCTGGGTCTGGGACCCTCGGACTCTTGTCTCCATTCCGTGAGTACAGTTTCGGGAGTCTCCCTGCACCGGGATCGTTAGCCCGGAACAGGCTGAGCCTTGGTCATCTGGTAGGGGAGCAGTGTCACTGTGTATCACTCATTTGTATATAGTATTATTTTCAATATTATTGTAGTTTAGTTATTAAATTGTTCTTATCTCAACCCGCAAGTCCTTTTTTCCCTTTAATTCTCTCCTCTATCCTCGGGGGGGGGCGGGGAGATTGCGTGAGTGGGTGTGTGGTTTGGCCCCCAGCCAAGGGCAAACCCATCACCCCTTCTCTGATAAAACTAAAAATAATTTCAGAAAGGCCAATCTTTTTTACTTTATTATGAAAATTGCTACATTACAGTCACTGTTCAAAACAGTATTTTGACATATGGTTTCTTTCCATTTAGGTGCCAATACACAAGCCATGATTACTGTTTCAAAAATATGATTAGCATTTTCTATGGTAGTTTGACATAACTTAAGCCATTACAACATTCTATAATCTCTTCCTCCTTCACCCATTTTTGAGTCAGCCATGGCAAAGAACAGCACCTACAATACCCAAATTATCCACGAGTGTTATGGGTATAAATAAAGTTAACCATAAACCACAGAACACCACACACACACACAAATCCCCCAGGGAAATTATTTGTTCTGTACATGTTGAAAAACGCAGCAAGGTCAGCTTCCTCACTCCGACACGTAAGTTAACAGGCAGAAGCCTCAAACCTAACCCACTGTCAGCCTGTTCAGGAGCATGTTCCCATTCTCCTATTACATGGGCTTCCAGAGAAAGTGTTTGTTTTCAGACCTCAGGGTAATGAAACTAAACACTGCAGATTTTGAATATTTGATTAGTAACAAAATTTGAAGTGCCTTTTATTTATTTCATAAACAGAAAGAATGGTGAATGCCTGTATATTTATAATTCTGGTAAACAGGGAAGTCCATAACAGTGTGATTATTTCCTCAACAGCACATTAATACTGCATTCAGCAATGCTGTTCAACACATGCCTCAAAACCTGTACAGCCAAACACACTATGGGTTACCCATTATAAATACTAACATATTTCTATTTTTTAAATAAACATAATAGCTTAATTCCAGAAGACTGAATGGTTCCGCAGTGCAAGTGATTCTCTTTAAACATCTCTGTTGACAAACCAGGAATAATAAAAACAAACCCACTGCTTTAGAAGCCATGCAGTCCAGACTTTCACAGGTGCTCTATGTAGATGCCATGCCTTTTTTGCAGCATTGTTAATTTAAAAGGAGTAAATAAATCCTGTTAGAATAGGAAATTATTTCTTGGCAAGTACTTGACAAATCAAGTCTCTAGCTTCATCACCACTTCACGGATAGCCTCTGGCTGCAGTTTTCCAGTCTTAAAACTGGAAGTTCAGAAGGAATAACTGAAGGTTTTCATTGGTAACATCAGAACTATAACAGAAGTATTTTCTAAGTGCCATTTAAGGGAAGAAAGTGGGTATTAGTGAAGTTCCACTGAGCAGATTATCCCACAGGGTCAGGTTGTAAATGATGGTCTAGGTGAGCTTTTCGTGTTGAATCTGGTAGTAACATGCCTGTATTAAAACAAAGTTCAGTTTAGCATACATACCAGCTCTCAGCAAGCTGATAAACCATCATACACAAAGACGCTGATTTCTTTTCTACACAGAAAACAGAGGCTTTTTACAAGCAGTAATGATATAGTGACATTCAACACGTGAGAATCTTCTAATACGTAAACTAGCAAAAAGAACAGGAGATTTTAAGTTACAAATTATGTCCAACTTAATTAGGCAAGATAGCATCATTTGGGACATTGAATACTTTCACAGCTCCCAGCTTTGCCTTTTTTTCGCTCAGAGGTCTTTCTTTGCTCTTTGACAGAAGGACCCAAAAAATAAAATATTTTCCGTCAGGACAAGGATGCGGGGATTAAGTGTTTCAAAAGCCCTCAGACTGAAAAGCAAAGGTTTCTATCACCTGGATAAATACCCTGACCCACTGCTGATAGCTATTCACTCCTTAGTGCTGGTTCAAATATGCTTTGGGTCAGCCATGACCAGAAACTTAGTAAAAATGTTTCAGACAACACTTCCACTCATGGAAAATAAGATTCTGCTTCTACTACATAGATTCTTTGATAAATTTTAACCAATTCAAACTTTCCCTTTTTGCAGCACTATAAAAATAACAGGTATGAAAAAACCTCTGCACCCAACTATTTCCAGTTTGCACAGACAGAAAATACAATCATGCTCACCTAGCAGTTTAGACTAAGAATTTTATTTAAGTTTCAGATTAACAGCCTGTCTCCAGAACAACCTCACAAAAAAGCTCCACGCAGCTGAATTGTCAGAAGAACCACTTGTTTGAACAGTTTTGAGATACCAAAGCAACCTATCTCCATTATGGAGGTCCTAGTGTACAATAGGATTACTTACTAGAACAGATTCTCTCCTGTTTTCCATACTTAAAAATAGAAGAATGCTAAAAAGAATGTGGAGACTGACACAGTAAAAAGAGTTTGGGTTGTTTGGTTTTTTTTTTTGTTTGCAAAACTGAATTCCTGAAGCATCTTGATGTCATGTTAGACTTAAACATTATTGGAGTGGCTAGTCTCCAAAGCAGCACTTCATTCAAATTTTTATAAAGGGAATAAAGTTTGTTCAGCTGCAGGGGAACGACAAGCTCCAGGTGAGCATTCACAACAGTCAACAGCAACATTTGAATTCGTATTACATTTGAATAAAGTACACTTGCAAATTGCACCATTTTATTAGTAGTACTTGCAATTTTTAGGTTATCCTAAGCTCTAAGTTAAGTCTCCTTGCTCATCCTAGCTAAAAATTTCGAGAAAAATGTCTAAAAATTTACAACCTGACATTCACACAATTGTCCTATGCTGATCATTATTGCTCAAAGCCGATTAATTTCCAAAGAAGCCTTTTAATAACCCTGAATAATTTTCATACCTTCAAGGTAGTGAACATAATGCCTTGCTCCCCATGCTGCAGATAAGGATCCATCAGGTCTTCGATTAAGTGTACCTCAGACCCCAAATTCCTTATCCTGTCACATGAGGGAGAGGGAAAAGTGAACACAAGATATCATTATAATGTTTTTACTTTTTGTACATGGTGCAAAAACCATGCTTTTCCCTAACCTCATTCAGATCACAGCCATTTCACAGTTAACCATTCAAAATTTGTTCAGGCCAAAGCAAACAGCCAAAATGGAAAATTTACTAAGTTACAAAAAGCTAGCAATTACTCCTATAGCAAGAAGCAGGCGTGTTTAACACAAGTGAAAGTAGTCATACTGCATGTGCTCAGCTTATGACTGCTGCTGCTCTTAGTGCCTACCTGGCTCGTAGCACCACATAGAGAAAGACAGGAAATAAGTCATCCATGGACCACAGAAAATCTTCCTGAAGAGTCTCAAGTACATTCTGAGAGATCTCTTCAAAAGTCTGATGGATCACCTTCAACTTGTCAGCTGGGGTAAATGTGGTACTATTTGGAAAGCAAAAGCAAACCAGGGTAACAATAAGAAGTTACATATCTGCATCTAAATGAGGAAGATCAGTTGCTAGCTAGCGTGCCCCTGTGCCTAGGAAGATAAGCCAGGTCATTCACACCACAGCAGCCATGGCTTCCAAGGCTGTGTAGCACCCCAGGCTGTAATTACTGGATCAAAGCACATTATTGCAAGCGAGACTGTCTTCACAGTTAAAATGCTTAACATCATGGTAAAGGGGGAAAAAATTCCTTTCTAAAACCTTTTAATTTCTACTTAAGTTCTTACAGAATAATTCCTTAGGTCAGCTAACAGACACAGAAAAGTTCCCTATACATGGGTCATTTTGCCATAACTGTTTAAAAATTCACACGTATATTTGATTAGACATCCTCATGCTTTTGATTCTAAATGGTGTCCTATGGACAGTTGCATTTGTGAGGCTATACTTCATTCCCTGTTGGGAGAATTTGCTAACATTTTTAGTAGGAACTCTGAAACTTCTTGGTGACATCTCCTACAAAGGTGAACAAAGAAAAGGTGACAGGTAAAGGATCACAGTCAAGTAGACTAGATATTACTATAGCAGGAACAGTAAAATACGAAAAGTTTCAGAATTACCTGATTTGTTGTAAACATTCAACTGCAGAAGCAAAGCAGGCATCTTTTGTATTTGATGATACCTGTGTAATCATGAGAAGATTTATCATGCAGGTTTAACAACCCCACTCTTCAGCAGAATAAGAAAAGCAGGGTATCATGCAACACTGGCATAAAAGACTTTTTTCAGTTTTCCAGGGCAAAGAAAGGGTAATGTGCCTGGACATTAAAGTCACCCAGGAAATGTGCCTGCATCTAATTTGGATGAGTTTGATTTAAAATTCAGGAAAGCCTGTACTGAATTCCTTGGTACGTTATGAGAATCAGTGACTGTTTTGGCTTTCTTTCAGGTCAAGTGAGACTGAGAATCCTTAAATCTTAATGGCTAACGATCAAGAGGGAACCGTAAGACTGGAATGCTTGAAACCTAGAAAAGTCATAGCAGTCAATAATCAGACACTCAGGTTTGGAACAAACAGAAAAAGAATATAAGTTTCATAATTGGAGACCAAGCAAATGTCTTCCTGAATTAGAATTCATTACAGAGAAAGACAGTGACAAAGCTGGACTGACAGCTATTGTAGGAATTCACTAATGTATGTACCTTTTAAGTAGCAGACAAATTTTAAGGAAACATAATAGCATAGCATCTCTTAAGCAAAAAGCCAGGTCAAAAATTCTTTGACCACTTCATGTTCTCAGCTTCTCAAAAGAAGCACTGGACAAAGCATACTGTAAGTCAAGGCCTAATGAACATACCTTTCTACTCTCTCCAAGGATGGATACAGTTCCTGGCCAAAACTTCCTGCAAGAAAGCCAACATAGTCCTTTGGAAGAGCATAGTCTTAAAGCATTTTTCATCTCACAAAAATAAAGTCATCAGGTTCTTCCATGAGATATGACAGCTCTTTCCACAGGATCAACTACATCTAGCACAAATAGTTGGAAAATAGCCTAATTTGAAAGGCCTTGCTGTGGTTTTGTAGTGATGACAATCTCTGCTCCCCCCTCCCTGCTTTTTTGGAAGAGGGAAGTTTTTATTTACTCTCTCAACCATACTACCTAGCTTGAAGATATCTTTAGATGCATTTTAATCAAAGAAAAGCACTTTAGACAACAGGGTTTTTTTAGTTGCTTTATCTAATTACATGCCATAACCTTTTTCTAAGTTGTTTTATTGTTGAAGCATACTCACGCTTGCACTCCAAGAAAACTCAGAAGAGCCATATCAGTTTGTTTGTTTAGACGTAAAACACATTCCCAGTAAACATCTTCCTCACGCTCATTGTCCAAGGCATACAACATAAATAGAGGAGGATAGAGTCGTGGCAGTAATACGGGGAGCAGCAAGCCAAAACTGGTTACCACATAGCTGTAAAGAAAGAGGAGAGTCATTTGAAGAGGAAGACATTTTTAGAACCTTAGTATCTAGTTTTTATCTCTTTTAATGAAGGATATATTCTTGGAACAAATCTTTCATTTAGTATTAGCCTATTCTGTGAGGGATAAGAATAATAAAATAAGCACAAATCAATCAAATAGCAACTGTGCTAAGAAAGACTTAGGAGCAATTTTCCTTAACAGTCCACATATAGAGGGTTTGGGGGGGGGGCGATGTGGTTGTGGTGTGGGGTTTTTGTGGTTTGCGTGTGTTAAAGAGAACATTTCCTTTCTTCCTTGTAATGTAAAAGCTGAATACTGCACTTTATTATAGTTCAAGTTTTACCTGCATCTTCACACTAATCATTTAGTCCCCATTCTGAGCCACTCTGCTGACAGCTTAACCTTCAAAGCACAAGCTAGAAAATAGACTAAAACCCCTTGTTACCTGACCCAGCTCCACACGCTCACACTCCGGGCTTCATAAAGTCAGCAGTTGCTTGGCATCTAGCTGTACGTGTAATAGGGAAAACTGAGCTCAAGACGCCTACTAATACCATCTGCAGGGGTCATCGGAGCCCTTCTCAGAAGGCTGTCTCTACTGATCCCCCTTCCTTGTTTTGACCACACCTGAGGCTGCTGTGCACAGGACAATGGACACAAGGGTGAGCTCCATGTGGCCAACTATTTGTAAGGCACTATATGCGCACTGGACCTACATTATCCCCAGTGCTCATATCCCAAACAGTTTTCTGAAGCCCAGGCCCAAACTTGAACTTGTCTACCCCCAAGAGACAAATGCAAGTTTGGGCTTAAGTAAAGAACCATTGCAGGGAATAGGGATGAAATGCTTATTATAACCACCACATGGAAGTTTGCTTAACAGAATCCATCATCTGAACCAAAGGAAAAAAACTGTTTATATCCATCAGTTAAATACGTGCTTATCTTTCTTCTTCCACCCGAGAAAAAACTGCAAACAGAAATAAAATAAAGCCTTCATTAGTTCAGGATTTTTCCTTTATGTACCCTGGCTCAGGAGATTCTGATCTGGAGTCAGACTTCCCACTGCAAAATGATCGCCTTCCCTTTGTCTCCGTTGGCACAAATGGAATTGTGCTGCCCTCTTCCGGAAGATCAGGAAACAAGAACCTAAACGGCAATACACATAACAACATACGGTTTCGTTTCAAGAAGATTCCACAAAGCACAGCATTAGAAGACAAGACTGTAGAGGAAAGAAAAGTCAGCTGAAATAATACATCGTGGACTAAGACAGCATAGCTAACAGATGTACAGTACCATCTACCTGGATGAAAAGTTATGAAGGACAACCCCTCCAATGCCAGAGACACCTTTCCTGCTTTGACATCACTTCCCTCCAGACAAGGCTTCTAATAGTTAATAATTTGGAGTATTTCTGCTTTCAGATTGGCAGGTCCCCATTAAAGATGTAATTGCTCTCAAGAATCTAAGCAAATGCTTCATAGGAACATTGCTCATCCATGTTGGTAAGAACTTTGATGAAACACACTGCAGTCCCCATCCTCACCATTCTTCAATACCCTTTGAACACTGTCTTTTCACAGCAAGGATATCCAGAGACACTAAATTGTAAATCCACATTCAAGACGAGCTTCCTATAGCCATATTTTGCAGTACAATGTAGGCTGTAATACACTGTGGTGAAGATTTTAATTTTTTCTATTTTGACAAATAGTCAAGACTCCTTAAAAGGGTTAAGAAAATATAAGCAACACCTAAAACAGAATAAATATACTGGCACACTTGGGCTACATAAACATTAGACAACTTCAGTACATAAGACATCTTTCATTTATTCTGCAGTAGTTGCACTTGAAAGTTAGTCTCATTACCTAACCAATTGGAAGATGCGTTTGAGGTAGGACTTTATCTCTCTTACAGCCTCCTGCAGTAATCGCCGGTTAGCTCCTACTCCAACATAGGTCATTCTGTAGACAGCTACCAATGTTTCCACCAGCTTGCCCAATGGATGGAGAGGAGTATCACAAGCCTAAGGTAAAAGGTGTTAATTGGCCAGTCAGATAGATGAATACCAGACAAGAAAAAAAAAAAAGGAATTCAAGAGAGATGGATCAGAGATCCAACAACAAGCTTTAAAAAAAATATATTACAAATACATCCAAAAAATGACCTATATTTTTAAAATTGCCATTTGGATTACAAAATTTATGTATTAGCTGAACACAGCTGACAGAGGAGTCAAGACAGTACAAGAACTTGTGTTACTACTTTGACAAGTCATCTCTCCAGTACTATTAAAATTAACATGCAATAATTAGCAAGTATTTCAAAATGCTGGGATCCAATGTATGAGGATTAAAAAACGTCAGTTTCTGCTCAGTTACTGTAAGGCAGTATCCATTAGGTATACAACAATCTTAGTCTTAGTTGGGGATTTTAATTCAATAAATTAGGAAGTTATGAGCAAACATGAATGAATACAACATGGATTACAAGAGTGCAAACATGGAAGGAATTAAGGAAAGCTATTACAAAGTGAGCTTGATATCATGCCTTACCAACAAGCTGTGTGAGCATTTGATGGTCACAATACCTTTATCAAATATTTTTTTATAATTTCATATTTTTCCAGGGTGAAGGCACCAATGTGTTGTGGAATGAACTCCAAACTTTCCAGTGTCTGAGTATGTGAGCGACTCAATAATTCTAGGCTGCAGTTATAAAAAGGACAAAAACATTGTACAGATTATTTATGAGACAGACAGTAGGAAAAATCCCCCTGAGACCTAATTCAAACATCAGTATGTCCCTGAAAGGGTTTATACTGCAGAGCATTAAGAGTTCTGATTTTGTTTAGGATTTGTTGTTTTAATGGAACTTTTACAGCCAGAGTTTCTAGTCTAGAGTGGAGAATGATTCCAGTTTCTTTCACAATACTTGATCTTGCTCACTACATACTTTAGGAACCAACCTGTCTTTGTGTTGCCGTCTATTGGTTGTCAGGGCCACCGCAATGTTGTCCCAAGCCTTCCATCTGTCCCCCTGGCCCGGGCTTTCACAACCAAGCTGGTTCCAGCATTCTTCAAATACCGCCTTCCATTTCTCATCAGGAGGCACAGCCAGGATCCCGAGTTTCCGCCTAATAAAATTATTAGTCGGTTAAAAATCAGTCACAAAACATGTTCAGCTATGAAAACCACCTATGGTTAATGCCAGTCTAATCTCTTACTATCATACCAAAAGCTGAACTTAAGTCTCTACTGTGAGCCAAGTTTTATCACCAAGAATCAACCTAGAATCCACCATTTAATGTCTTGATTTTCAACTTCTTTTGACATGAACTCACAAAAAGTTATACCTATCCTTAATTTTTTTTTCTTGCTAACATACATTAATCCATATAACATATTATAATGTTACAAGATTAAAATGTTTTTAATACCTACATGTGGGAACAACTGTGAACCTTATACTACATTGGACAAGTCAGTCTTGCTCTTTCTTGTAGTCTTCCAGGAAATGGTTTGTTTAAACACAAGGAGGACTGGTTTGATTTCAAAAAAAACAGGGCGCCCTGCACTTGACTGGGCTAACCTTCACTGCTGGTATTCATTCAGACAGCTCAGGACACGTTCACATAGCAAGGACATAGTACAAATATGTCCCAAATACCTCACTATACTGGAGTGTAGCACAGCTACACAGACAAATACCAAGGATGAATACATGGATTCTGCCCCCAAAGTAGTATCTACATATGATGTTGCCTGACATGTTAGGGATATGCTGATCAAGAGCAAAATCAGCTCAGGCATCTTTTCACAACAGCCAATGCTCAAGGATCCTCTACAGCCAAAAGAGAACCAAGAACTGTTTTTCTCCCAATATAGGTATCTCAGAGACATATAATGAAATTTAGGGCTTTGAAAAGCTTTTGTAAAGCAAATAAATGCTGTCAGGGCTAACAGTTCTATCTTGATTTAAATCAAGTGTCAGAAATCATCAGATCTTTCATCAACTTTTTCCACCATGTTTGAGATGAGAACTAGCAACACTGGTATTTCCCCATGCTTCCAGTTTCACAAAGCAGAAAAAGTAGGCTCTTTTCACAAATTACACCAGAAGATTTTCAACTTCAAGAGAGCCTGAAGCAGGGTAGACGAAACCCTTCTTTCACAAGCAATCTTCACAAATATGTACATACATTTATTCATAGACTCCCTACTGGGGTAAAAAGCAGACAGCTGCTAAGGTTGAAAGTGTCTGATTCAGCAGGGAGGCCTGCTTAACTTTGCATCCTGTTGTAAGGTGTCGGCACTGTCAAAAGAAATTACAACGAACGCTTCAGGAAGCACACTGAGAAGTAATCTGCGTAAAAACATTAGAGTTGTTTCCTATTTTAACCTGAAACTTGAGAGTATGCTTCAAAGATATTGAATCCTGTACAACTACAACTACTACTGTTGTAAATCAGTATATAGTGCTACCAAATACTGAAACTACACGAACTCTTTAAATTGACTTCAATTTCTTCTACTCAAAGATATCTCAGTTATGACTTAAACTTCCCCCCGAGATAATTATGCAAATTGATCTAATACATCTGCTATAAATAGGGTTATACGGATACTTTTCAAAATTATCTTTGCCAAGGTGTTAAAATGCTCTCTTCTGCAATCAGCAGATTTTCTTCTACTATTTTTTTATGCATTGTTTGGAAGAGATGTAGTAACTTGTTAATTCTGTCTAAATGCATCCCCACTGGCATAATTAAGTGACATACTAAATAAATTAACTGACAAAGAGAATAATTGGCAGAAGGCAGAGTGGTCTGTGAGTGACTTAATCACTCAAATGTAACTTAGTCTTTCTCAGTACCTCAAAAGTCATCAGCAGCTGTGAACTCAGGTTCTAACAGTAAGTTCAGATAAAATTCCAATTCTGAGACTGCTACAGCACAGTAACAATGCGTTGGCTATCCTGTAATTTCATGCTGCTACTTGTGTATTCAATAGTAATTAAAGCAAGAACAGCTATAAACATTATCTTCTTTTATTTCCTGAGCAAGAGGGATGAGGAATGAAAAACAAAGTGTTTTCAAAATATCACTGTTCCTTTGGAAAAAGTATTTTTTTCCAAGGCAGGTTAAAAATATAATAGTTGTGTTCTAAAGTGCTACTGAACCATATGAGAAATTATTTCTTATTCAACACTCACAATGCTTTAGGTTTGTCCTTCTCATTCTCATACAAGCTAGGCTTGAAGTAGGTTCCTGTGATTTTTATCCCAGATCCCCATTCTCCATTGAAGAGACCTTCAATATAATCTCCATTTGGCAAGGTCAGTGTTCCCTTGAGAGAAGATGATAAAAAAATGTAACTGAAATCCATTGGGAACCAAATTACAAGGACAGAGACTTTTTAAGATGGTAACAGTTTACAAGTGACAACTGTAATACCAACCTTTCCACTCAGAGTCCAGTTATCTGAAAATTCCCCCTCATAGACTGTATCATCCTCAGAAAGCAGAACTCCAGTCCCCTATAAAGAGAAACATAAAGATGACAAAGCAGTAATTACAACAGAAGGCCAGACTGCAGGTCTAAAGATACACTGAAAAACCTGCTATTAATTCGTAGCAAATTATAATTTTTTTAAAGCAGTTTCTGAAGTAGTCCTAGGTAAAACAGAGTGGTGATTATAAAGACAGTTTAAAAAGTCAGGACAATAGGTTAGAAGAACAGAAGATTTACACAGCCTAACACACTTATCTAGCCCAGAAAGCTACCCCGCTTAGAGGAAAAGTCACTATAGCAGAGTCCAGTGCTCAACTCACCATCATTTTGTTGGTGCTGAAGGCTCCTTCATAATACAGTCCAAACTGAGTGACCACAACACCATTGCCTTGGCAAAGATCATCTTGCCACATTCCCATATACTTTTCTCCTCTGAAGTAAAAGGAAGTAGGAAGAACACACTCTAAGCCATACATTTATATCCTTACTTTGGCTTTACTGCAATATTTCACCATTACAGAAACCATTAGAAAAGAGTCACAAGCAAACATCAGCCTCTCTCAGACTATTTCAAATACTTTTTTGTGAATGTAAGTCCACAGAGGTAAGGCTGGAGTGTTTGTCACAAGTCCCAAGTATTTTGAAACAATCTATTTTTCCAGTTGTTCAGAAAAAAAACCCATGATATTTTCACCACACAAGTAATTAAAAAAAATTAACTTGTTGAGAAAGTTTTTGTTTGCTTTTAGAGGGAAACTAGGGATTGATTTAACAGAACTCTGCTTATTACAGAGCATTTGCCTTCTAGTACCCAGGAAAAAATATTGTCATAGTAAAGAGAGCAAGCCAAGCCATTAATCTAAATTCAGGGGTATCTTCCAGCTGATTGGACCCATGATCTAGCAGGATGCTGTTCTGATTCATCACGCCAGCTACAGGTGACTCTGCTGGGTGAAGGCTTCTTGCCGAGATAGATGCAGCATCCTCAGTAACCAGGATGGAAACATAAGAGTAGAAGCCCCACTTTCTCAAATGATTGGTTTGCAATAATGACAGCAAGCTACAGAGAGTGCCTGCAGCTACTCATTTGTCTGGGCTGAAAAATAAGAAGTGAAGAAAATGAATCCTTAGGCCACAAACACATGCACATATCCTTCCCTAAGATCAGAAAGAAAACTACCATGAGGGCAGCTCACTCATATTTCAATAACTCTGGAAAAGAAAGAAAATGCCACATTCTTCCCCCACCGTGAACTGCCACTGCATTTACAAATTCTGGAGGCGAGATGCTCTGCAAGGAAATCTGCCATCTCTTTAGTTTGTCCGAGGCAAATAAATGACTAAATAAAGCACCCAGGGACATCTTGACACTAGTGCCCAAGAACACACATCAGAACTGAGCAATACTAGGTGCAAAACTGGCATCAGGAAATACCTAGAGATATTACAATAGCCCTATTTCAAAAAAATATACACATACACCCCCTTCACCTCCAGACTTTACTATTCTGCTTTTTAAGTGGGCTTTCAGTTCAGTTAAACCAGAACCCATTTTCTTGGGCTCTCACCAGAAGTGCTCTTTTCAGGAAAAAAGAGCATTAAATTGGTGGCTAAAAAACCAGGCTATATTGATCTGTGCTCAGACAGTACTCATTTAGTGCACATACTCAGTGTAATTCTGTTTCTGAGACCATCATTTCATTAATCTGCCCTGAGAGAGAGCATCTTTCCTCTGCTACATTAACAGAATAAGTCAATGGAAAACCTGAGCATGAGCTGGAATTTACCTAGTCCTGTATATCTGATCCCTGAACAACCCAGTCTTACAGGCTTAAGATGGAAGAATACTCCTCATTTGACATTCATAAAGCTTTCAGCACTCACACAGCAAGATACCTCAATAAGATAGCATATTCAGTGCCAGCTTTCAGGCAGGAATACAATAGGACAGCAAGACAGAAGAAACTCAAAACAAAACCAAAAACCACACGTTTACTCCAGAAGCAGGACCAAAAGCAGTCTCTAGATGCAACTGTTTAGATCATCAACCCAGAAAGCCTAGTATACAGCAGGAAAAAAAACCAGACACTCACTACTACTAACAGATCAAATAATTTCCTACTCTTGTTGCAACTGTATGTCATACCACTGTTTAAGGATTTGTGGAACTGAAGCGTTACCTTGTGATATCATCAAAAACTCCATAACCACTCTTCTTATCCATTGTCCACTGTCCAATGAACATACTGGGAGAGGAAGAGGTCAGCTTCCCACTACGTAGCAAACCATGCCCATGACGCATGTTATCCTGAAAGCACCCTTCATACACCTCACCAGTAGCATAGCTAGAATGAAAAAGAGAATAAGTAAGATTCCTATAATCTACTTTTCTGTTGTGGTTTTTTTTGCTGTTGGTTGTGGATTTTCTGGTTGGTTTCTCGTTGGGTGTTCCCCCCGCCCCCCCCAACAAGTCAACCCTCTCTTCTTCCTTCTAGGAATTGCATTACAATCACACCAAGCAGGAACTACAGTAAAAGTATATTTAGGACACAAGTGAGCCTTTAATACAAGTCTTTGATGCGTTGTTGTTTTAAAGCCACTCTCTCCCCCAACAAGCAAGGCCAGTAGAGGTTGTATTTATCTCTCAGAACAAAGGATCATCTATTATTGAAAGGTGGTAGCAACACCAGAACAGATCTTGATAACAGAACACCGTACAAGCATGCATTGTGAGCAATCTACCAAAAGCAAAGCAGAAAATAAGACAAGTTAACTATAATCCAAAGTCTGAGGTGTAACAAGAAAGTTACATGCAGAGGCTTTTACCAAGTGGTGTGCCAGAGCACCAGCCCTGCTCTCCCTTCTGCAATGGCAGCAACAAAGTGTTACACGTTACCTGTAGACTCCATGCCCACACATTTTGCCTTCCTTCCAGTACCCCACGTAATGGTCATCCTTATTCAGTGCTTTATTTGGCACTCTGTATTCACCATAGCTGTCAATGCATGGAAACAGAACACAAGCAGCTATAATAACAACACATTTCATTAAAAACAGGAAGAGACATGTATCAGACATTCTAAAATTAGAACGCTCTACATAATTTTTAGCACATCTCCTCAACTACAGCAGTTAGATTTGTTTTTTTTTTTAAAGAGAGTGCAGGGATTCCAGCATCACTAGGTTAATTTAGTCCGTACTGCTTTTCTCCTGTTTGATTGTGCCATGTTGCAAGTATTCCCCTCTCTACCACACTGCAGCATTTTTCTCAGCTTTCTAAAGGCCACAGGTCTTCTCACATGCTAAGACTGATTCTACCTTCTTCAGCTCTTGATAATTCAAGCACACCTTTATTCCAGGGAAAGATAAGAACATGTATTGCTACAGAGAATATTTTTTAAAAAGATGCTAGCTTCCGATTATGCTCAAACCGTGGCACAGAATTTCAGTATTCCTGAAAAGAATGAGACACACAACTTTTATCCATTTCTTCGGAGGTGATTAAAATCCAGTTACGGAGGTTCTCCTGAGAGCATGTCTACCCCAACAAGACATTGCTATTGATCTGTTGACACTATAGCATGCATGCTGAAATACAAATGTATACATTTGATAATCCTAGCAATTACTTCTAATTACCAATCCATTTTTTTTCTGGTGGGGATTGGTTTGTAATATTTCCATCTCCAACCACCCTAAAGTCACCAGGGTTAGTTACACTTATTATTAGTTATAAATGACCAAAGCTCTAACCTGGTTTTACAGTTTGACATTATACCAATAGCTAAGGTGCATTTTAAAAAGCTGTCTGCAGCCAGACCGTATTTCAATTTCCCCTCCAAGTCAATACTTCAAAAATATATCTGGAAGCCAGTAAGACTCCTCATACATTTTTATCCTGCCCAGTACAGACATGTCTGCTCACAAGATTCACATAGAAATGTCTTTGGAAAGAAGTTAACTTCTTACCTTCAATAGAAGAATTTATCTAAGCAGATTCTTAGCAATTAAATCCATAGATTAATTCAAAGCTGTATAACAAATTATTAAGTTACTTCCAGGTGGTCTTATTTGTTTCACCAAATAAATTGGTAACATCTAGGACTTCTGTTCAGCCTATTTTCAAACACCTCTGTAGTAGTTATCTTACTCATCACGTTCACATACTCTCATTAGTTTTGTTTTCATCACCCAAACCCTGAAGTTTCAAGTCAATATTTTGTTGTCTCCTTCTCGAATTATTAAACCCTTGCTCTACCAGAAACACAGCAAGGAAAACATTAGAGAAGATGCATCACTACATTGTATGAAAGGCATTGCATTTTCTAGAAGGATAAAAAAAATGCCAGAACTTTAGAAAGAATACTGCAACACAAAAAGTTAATCGTTACCTATACAGCAGAAAGCTGACTGTAGACTTTTCACTTGGCTTCCTCTGCTTAGGAGTTTACATCCACCCACCCATTCTTTCTCCTTGGCTGTTTTACCATTTCCTTCCTCCATTCTACAGCTGATTACCCCTAGTAGATTCAGTTTTTAGTGAAAGAGCAAGTTTTTAATCACAGTCTGTTGTGAAGACAACTAGCATACCTCTGGATAAATGAGAGATTATCCATATAGCAACATATATCTATATTGTTAACACACATAACCTGGCTCAGTAAGATTCACTGCAAAACCTTTAATTAAAGGCTTTTGTTATTATCTCTTAAAACAAAAGGTATTTCTTGCCCTCTGGCTCCACAAGCTGTGAGAGGATCTTACCCATCCTCCAGCCCAGTTCGGAAAGTCCCAGAGTACATTCTTCCATCTGCCCACTTTAGGATCCCCCTAGAAAAACAAAAAGCCATACACATGTATAAGATAATCAGTTCACTTCGCACTTCCCAAATAACTTCTGTGAGTGAGCCTGCTTATTGATACAGCAACCACCTCATTTTGTTTTCAGCTCTTACGTTCAAATGCTTTTACCTGCCATGAGGTTTTCCTGAAAGCCATCTCCCATCATAAACAGCATCCTTAAATCGAGGGTCCTTATAGAAGGTGTATTTGGCACTGCGAGAAATAGGAGGTTCCTGTCTTGGCACATTTCCACCAGCTCCATACAGAATTAAGTCAGAAGTCCCTCTAAGGGCCTGATCCACTGCTTGGCTTATCGCCCTCAGCCACTTGGTCTGAAACAGAAAGTGTTTCATCACAGTATTTAGCTAACATTAGTCTTTGCATTGAATCTCACCTTTACAGCAACTACAACCATCTCATTTGCACTCCTCCACACAGTGTTGTAAATCAGAGCACTGCTACTGTCAAGCACAGCGTACAGCCAATTAGCATACCAAGTTGTAGGAAGACTTCATTCTTGGTCAATACGCCTCCCTATCTGGTTTCACAGTAGGGGAGAAAAATTCACTCATATCACTGAAGCCATGCAAAGTCTGTAGATATGCCTACCTTTTCCTGTGGTGTTGAAGAAACAAGAACAAACTGTTCTTCTGGTGTTGTAATCTTCAATCCATTCCTACATGGGGGGAGAAGGGAAGGGGGAAGTATTTTAACCTACTGAAATTCCATCCTGAAAAATACAAGGTTTCTTAGAGAATGAACATTGTATCTTCCCTCCCTGACCCCAGCTGGCATTCACTTTAATATTTAAAGTCAGCAGTGAAAAGAAGCAGCAGGAAAGACTACTTGCTTTCTATTTGACTTTCTTTCTCATGTTTATATAACTTTTTTTAAAGACACAGAAATACAAAAAGTTTTCTGAAACTCAGAGAGGAGGTAGACATGACTGCATCCAGCCTATTCCACTCCTAGTTTATAATAACTGGTTACAAAATGCTTATCCTCCCCCCCCAAGATTTCTGACTATTTCAGCAACACAAGCAAGAATACTCACACATTACCAGCTTCTTCTGAAACAGCTTCTACCCACAGTGTGGACAAGGGAAAAATATGGTGCGTTGAGAACTGTAGGCAAAGAGAAGGAGAAGGGAAACTTCACCAGGTGCTGATCCAATACCCCTGCTCCAAGCTTTTCTGAACAGCTTTTTTCCTTTCTTTGAGGACTAGGGAAAACTGAGCATTACAGGCTCCTTATATGCACCTTGTTCCGAAAGACAGCCAACAGAAATCATGCCAGTCACAGAGCAACAGCAATCAAACAGTAAAAAAAAGTACATAATCTCAAATTTATTTGTAAACATGAAAAAATACCACTTAAACATTCAAGCAAAATTGCAATGAATGGTACAAAAAAAAAAACCCCTTATCGTCATTATATGAAAAATACGTCATTGTTTGAAGCAGAGAAAAAGTTTTGTTCCTGGATACAAGCTGGCTCACCTGAGCATGTACTAGAGCATCATTAAAGAGGATAAACCAGTTTACAGAGAATCTTCCAGCATGCTGTAGGGACAACCCCCGATTGCTGCTTTCACAGATTAAACGACGACAAGGAATCCTACAGGTAGGGTTAAAAGCAAAATTACAGAAGCTTACTTCTCACTGATTGTGACTTAAGGTCAATGCTATTTGTCTTCCATAGTAAAGGCCCAGCCTTTCTAAAGTTAAGAGTAGTACAGCAACACAAATCAGAAAAAGGAGAAGTGCAACTGGGACAGTAGCATCAGTAACAGACACAAAGTATAACACTAACAGCAAGGGATTCAAGCTGCTAATGGACTGACAATTGTCATTATACCGTCATTTTCCCAGGAAAGGTCTTCCAGAAGCCAAGTGTGTATTCTGCTTCTTTCCTTTTTCTACTAAGATGGACAGCAAGGCTCTCATAACAAGAACTAGAATCCTGTAGCTTCTGGTATTCTGGAGATGCCTATAGGGCACAAGGTAAGACAGGCCTGAGAGTGCTTATGAACACTTGTGCAAACACGTGATTAATATATAATTACACAATCTACCTTCTTGCTGCTTAACAAGCTGTAGCAGAAATAGTGTTCAATAATTGGAGGAGTAATACTTTAAATTACTATATAGGGATAAACGTACAAGTAGTTATTGTTCCTGTTTAGTCATCTTTTATTTCAAAAGAATGCAATTATATCTACATCTAAATGGGGGGTTAAAGTCTGTCTAATACACATAGGCAGTATTTTTAGTAGCGTATTACAGCCAAGGATAGCTACGCTAATGATACCAGATGGAACTGAAAAGCAACAGGCAAACATCAAAATAATATATTTGCAATTAAGAGCTCAGGCACACGAACAAGTTCTGGCAGGGTAACAAGTTTCTACCTGTCATGTGATCTATGCAGGTGTGGTGTAAGATCACGCAGAGACTTACATTTGCTGCAGGGAAGATCATGCAAGTCCAAGGTAGCATCTCTGAGGACTAAGCTATTTCTAATTACCTGGCATTTGCTTCACACAGTTACTTCCCACCCATAAGTTTCATGTGTATACTTATTCAGATATAGATAACAAAGCCAGCTCACCACTTCAAAACACGTGGCAAGCTTTAGCAGAGTTCTAGCATAATTATGAAGTCGTCCAAATGGCATGAAAAAAAGAGCATTCAGAACTTCCACTAGCTGGAGGTTTTCCTCATTCTTCTCAGATAGTTTCTGTAACAGGTCCTGGTTTTTACTCAGGAAGTCTCTAAATGGTGGGACCATTGGGAAACAGAGGGAGGAGAGAAGAAAAAAAACAGCAAGACATCAGTGATGTTTTATACAGATGAGCTCAGAATGCCCTTTTTTGGATTATTACAAGCCAATAAAAATTATAAAGGCAAATGCATGCTGCTTATTAATCTAGTCAAAATTTAGTTTAAGGAAGTACAATACAGACATGTAGCTCTTTAACTGCAACACAGGACTCCTTTTACTTCTACTCTCACATGCTCAGTCATTAAACTGGTTGAAGAAAGTTGACTAAGCTGTCCCACTTGGAGAGTAACTAATTGCCCTTTTCCCCTTTAACATTTGATTAGTAAAAGAGCTGAGGTAGAATGACTTCCCCATTACTGCTAGAGTAGTAAGTTTCTAACACTGCTGATTCATACAAGAAGGCCTGAAAGAATCTTAACTTTGCTCCAGTGCATTTTCCTGAATATATCCAAATAACCACTTCCCCACCCCTGCTGTTCAAGGCAACTGACCAGTTTTCCCCTAACTAGAAAAATTACATCCTACCTCAAAGAAAGGCAGGAAATCTGGTCAATCCTCAGTCTGATTTCCAAGAAGGAGAACTAATCTAGTTCAGAGAAGAAGAGGGAAATGATTCTGAAGACAATGCATTACCACACAAAACCAGGATTTCTTCATTAAAAGGAAAACAAACCTGTTCTTCCCTCTCCTTCGCCATATCTGTGTGCACACATGTGCTGGCACATATGACACATCTGGATTAAAACATATCCAGCTGGGAGCATTTAAACCACAACCTGCAAGAATCAGGTGAGGCTGAGAAGGCAGGCCCAGGGACAGCGAAACAGATCAGAGAACTGCACAGCAGGGTCTCTAAGAGTTCCACATGATTAGTAAGATGCCATTTCACACATCAAACTTGTCTAGGTCTGGTAATGATATTTAAGAATTGTCTTGTTCAACAAGCCTTAGGAATAAAGTCTTCTTTAGAGAGAAGACCATATTTTTAATTTTAAATTTAACCACCTGGATGGCTTGGAGTTTTCAAGTGTTTTGAGATCCTGACATGGAGGTCTCTCTGTAGAGAAGTGTCAAATAACACCAGATTCATAACACCAAGTACAGCTCACCTACTCTTTCAGATTAAATTCTCAAAAACCTGCCAACAACGGAGACTTCTATTAAAGCTAGCACTTTTTTAAAGTTGGGACTACTTCTAACGCATTCATATTGCGGACTATCCATAAAAGGCAGGCGACATCATTAATCATTGACAAAGACAGTATTGCTTCATGTAAGGGGCGGAAATTCACCATAATCAAAGATATTCTTGACTTCCCTTTGCAAATAGCAGGACAAAACTTCTAAGACATCTCCTCCCTGAAGTTTCAGAACCTGAAAAAGTCTTCTTCACCTAATGAGACCCTGGTTGCACTGCACAGGAGAAGCTGTGACACCTTACAGTGACAACTGATGTCAAGAATTCAGTATGAATGTCAGGATCCAGTAATTATAAATAAACTTATACTTGAACTAAGATTTCCTGTAAGCCACCCTAAAAATCTTAACCATTGCAGAAAGATTCTCAGTGTCTCTCTGCAGTGGGATTTTGTACTTAGTCTTTGGCACTGTCCTCAGGTGCAGAAAACTCCTCGCATTAGGTACCCACGTGTTTCGAAGAACTTCCAATACTGTAATTTACACTCCATTCAAAGTGCTCCATAAACAGCTGTAACGGAGTTGCTTCCAGATTACAGAATTTAGGAAGGAAAGAAAGCGGGCAATTCCTCAGATGAGTTAAAAAAACCCCCATTGCAACAACTTCTTCACAGCACTAGAGTGAAAGATGCCCAGTGTCATTACTTTATTTCCTAGGCAAAAATACCATTGAACTGGGAAATAGGCTTTTATGATCTATAAACTTCAACTACACTGTCTCAGGCCTTAAGGTACAATTCCTTCCTCACATTTAAGAGCATTTATGCATGAAATAGAGTAAAGCAGCCTTGAGAGGCAGACAAGATACACATGCAGAAATGTTATTTTTGCTTAGTTTTACAGCACTTCCATTAACTTAAAATAATTCAAATGAAAATGAATTCACATTATCTACTCTTACTAATTCTTAAAGAAAAGTTTGCTGTTTTGTATTTTCTTGACAGCAACATTTGAGAAAATACTAACACCTAACAGATGATGAAAATTTAACCTCAAGACTAAGCTTTCAAAAAAATCATTATCTGAAATCTATTTACATTTCTTTCAAGGAATTTACAACATTTTATGCTTTTTTCCTCCATCCTCCACCTTCAGGATAAAGTAACTGAACTCATTCAGCAGAATTTTAACCTAATTTTTTATCACAGTTGAGAAGAAGTAAATTTTTCTTCATCTGATCGAAAAGGAATTAGTGTACCGAAGTAAGGTGAGACCAAGTCTGCATGCTCATTACTACATGCATACACACAGAATTCTTTAAAGTACCATTCTTTGCTAGTTGATCAAAAACTCCAGAAAATGGTAAAGGTTTGCTTACATTGCTGGCTTTGCAAGGAGCATAAATCCTCCCATCACCAGGAAGTTTGTTACTGAACTACAATACCTAAAATGGCGAAAAGAGCTTTGGTTACAAAACAAGAACATCCATGAAAATAGCAACTACTGTGATTTCCAGCAGTTTACCAATGAGACTTGTAATATATTTTACTACAAAAGTAATCCAAGTACCTGAGAGAAAAATATTAAACACTGAAACACTCAATGTGACTGGAACACTTATTATTCACTTTCCACATGGAGAATAGAACATGTGTTACTATTCCACAGTTCTGCTGCTATTAGCACAATACAAAGAGCTTACTTTATAAATGAAACTTATTTTTTTTTCTTTTCCCCCCGAATTCAAGCACGTACAGAATAGGCCATCTGTTTCAACAGTTTAATAATGATAGCTTCTAATTACATTCAAGATGGCAATTTCAAGATCGGAATTTCTATTTTCCTGCTATTCTACCTTTCGCTTCTCCCCTACCAAAAAAATGAAAACCATTTAAAAAAACCCCACCTTCCTCTGAGGGAAGAGGTCTCATTTTAGCCCACTTAGCAGATAATACTTATGTTGCCTGATGGATCCTTGGAAGATGTGCAAGACACTATGCCAAGGAGCATGCATAGGTTCTGATGCCATACACAGAAAAATGGGTAAAGCATCAGAAAGCAAAGGGGGAGAGCAGAAGACAGGCAGTAACAACAAGAACAGAAATTAGGTATTTCAGTCTTTAACAGGGAGGAAGAAGAAATTAAGAAACCCTTCTAATCTGAGTAATAAGAACCAATTCTGAAAATCCAGACTACAAGAAAACATGAAGTCAGACTAGGGAGAAAATACATATTTACAATTATGAACAACTCATTTGATAAACAGAGAAGTTTCTTTTAGGGTGATATGGCACAAGTATCACTGACCTAGTAAAAGTGGTAATTGTCACCCTTGTGCTAGAAAAAAGTGCAACTAGCTGCACATTAAAAAAGTTACTGCATAACAACTGAAGTTGATATCTTTAAAGTTTGTTCCCTTAGAGACTTTCAGATGTCTGGTAACAAAGACTATATTCAGAGAAGACATTTTCATATCCCCCCCTCTGTCAAGCCAGTATTTTTCACAAAAGGTTGTAGGTATTAAGTATGAGACTCCTGCTACATTTGGATGCAGTTATGAGAACAGGTATGTCCTCCCCTTTGAGAACAGGCTGAGAGAGTTGGGCTTGTTCAGCCTGGAGAAGAGAAGGCTCCAGGGAGACCTTAGAGCAGCCTTCCAGTACTTAAAGGGGGCTACAGGAGAGATGGGGAGGCACTCTTGATCAGGGAGGGTAGTGACAGGCTGAAGGGTAATGGTTTTAAGCTGAAAGAGGGTAGATTTAGATTTAGATATTAGGAAGAAATTTTTTACTGTGACGGTGGTGAGGCACTGGAACAGGTTGCCCAGAGAAGCTGTGGATGCCCCATCCCTGGAGGTGTTCAAGGCCAGGCTGGATGAGGCTTTGAGCAACCTGGTCTAGTGGAGGGTGTCCCTGCCCATGGCAGGGGGGTTGGAACTCAATCTTTAGGGCCCTTTCCAACCCAAACCATTCTGTGATTCTATCATTATCCAGCAACTACAAAAGTTATCAAGGAGAAAGACAGCAAACAGTGTGACTGCATAGACTTACTCTCCCAAAAGCTTTAAGCTCATAAAACATCATAACCAGGATAATTCAGACTTAATTCTTTGTACTAAAGCAGATCTGTCTTTTGGGTGAAAGGTATAGTGTCTATTTAGCAGATATCAGAACAGAAGAATCATTCTTCTGGGAGACAATTTTTACTTAATGACTACTGAAAAGGCATTTTGTAACTACAATAAACTCCCAAAGATAGCTTTACATAGTAAGCTAACCATGTTAACTCCTACGTTGTATTACAAGATCCTTACTAGTGAGTAACAAACATGTTGCTTTTCAACAGGTATATATGCAGCAGAGGAGTTTGTACATACAGTTTCACATTAGGGAAGCTAAAGCTGTCCAGCGTGCTCCACTGGTAAAGACTTAAATATATAGCTCACTACAAAATGAATTTGTTTGTGTAAAACTACATATATTTTAAATTGCAATAATACAATTTGCACAACAGTTACTTATGTAGCTTTCCTTACGATCTACTGCCCCCTAACTGAGGGCTTGTTGTGGTCAGCAGATTAAGCCTGCAGAGATTCAAGATGAGAGGGAACTGGATACTTGCTCAGTGTAACTATCCAAAAAGAGACTGGAATGCTTCAGGATGGCCAAGCTCCTGGCTTCTTTTACTCCATGAAGAAAGCTACTTAGAGAAGCTCCATGTTGACCGATGAGATAGCATAGCTTGCTGAACCTGCTTGCCATTTCCTGCAACAACTGGATTGTATTTGCATTGCCCAAATTATCTGTAACAGACCAGAAAGTAATTTAGCTTACCTTACAAAAGAGCAGCACCCCATAATAAGAAGAATTAGCTGAAGGTGCTGTTTAGATGTTTTATTGATAATTTCACCTCATGGCTACATTATCCAAAAATCAGGAATTCAACAATTTTAGACTATGTACAGCTCAAGTAACTTATTTCAGGTGAAACAGTCAGGAAAAGTGTAAATACTTATAACACAATGCAGATGTCAAAATGCAACTGTATTTCACCAGTTCATCCAAACAGGAGATGAGTAAGACCTTAGCTTTATCTTGAAAATATAGAATTACTTTTAACTTTTACATAAAGAAATTTGTTGTGGAACACAGGGGAAAAAATGTAAGAAAATATTAAAATAAGTTCTTACCTAAACCTAAAAGAGGTCTAAGAACCTGAGATTTGATCTCACTCAGTTTGAAATAAAACCTTCTCTCAGTAGAAGCCAACTCATGCAAACTGGCAATATATCCCATTACGTTTTTGTCTACTAAGACCAAACAGTTGTCACCACCAGCTATCACATTGCTTATGTACCCTATCTGAAAGATGAAAAGAAAAAAGAGCCATTTTAATATTTTTCTTTTTATAGTCCCAATTTAAAAATAGGGTGATGAAGAATAAAGCATATCTTTAGCAGCACTAAGTGATAATAAGTATTAATACCTACAGTGACAAACAGTCCATTCAATACTGGCTTAATAAAGGAATGATAAAACTAGAAGGAACATTTATAGTCAATGCTCTTCATTTTCCTGGTACTGACAAAGACAATAAACAGATCATCTTTTAAGGTGACTCATACAACCATTCCATGTTTAAAAGATAGTGACCTTAACTTCAGTTACTTTCAGAATTGCAATATACTTCATGCTTATATCAACAATGTTGATATTAAACAGTATCATTACATCAGCTATTTCTCCTATTAATTAGGAAGTGAGAATAACAATGCTTTAATATTATGACTGTGCTCTGAACTATAGTCCTTTCCAAATCTGAAAGATGTCAATTTATTGATAGGAGTACTATTTCAGTGTAATTAAACTGGAGTAATACTAATAACTGCACTAACACCACAAGTGGTATTGGCGTACGTATTAGTAGATATTTGCTTTCCAGAGTAGTCGGAAGGAAAATTCTTCTCTAAGGCCAGCACAAGTGCCACTGATGCACTGTGGCTCCTCACTAATTCTGGTTCAGGTGCCATAGCATACAGTAATTCAGTGTTTGAGCTGTACTGTTACTTCCTTTGTTCTTAATTAGAGGGTTCCTTAGAAACACTGAGCCAGAGTTGTTCAACAAACAACCCACAGGCCAATTCTGACATCCAAGAGCCTATAAGTCACCCTACAAGAGAAAAGAAGGGAACGGCTGGCAACAATCTTACAGAAGGAATACAAGTGTGTGCTTATCTGGGTGCATATACATTGTGCACATACATGCAGGTATCTAAATCCCTGTCCCTCCTCAAAGCCCCTCTCCAACTGCTCCTCTGCTTAATCTGGGGAGGTAGCAATGAGACCCAGAAGAGCTGAGACAAAGAGAGCTGCTTTCTACCCTCACCATCTCCTTTTTGTTATCTTAAACTCAGGTTGGTCTGAAACCATACAAAAAACTTGGAAGAGGACGTGCATTCAGCATACACACAACCTCACCTCATGCCAACTTCAAGGCAGATATGAGATTCAGCTTCACGAAGAAAACTGCATAGGGGCACCTCCTCTCTCCCATAAACACGCAAATGCACACTGTGGTGCCTTTGCTCAGTTCCCCCTTTACACCCATAAGAAAGGGGTGGGGGGAAGGAGATGGTGCAGAACTCAGGGGGACCTTCTGCCCACTCACAAACAAGGTGCACAGGAAACAGAATGAAACAGAGCAGGTAGAGCCCTCAACCACTTGAGAAACAGGAAAATGCAGAGCAATAGCAGCAAAGAATTAACACATGAAGACTATGGTGAAAACAGAGCACAGTATAAGGGTGCACTTCTGCAAAATGCACGTGTGGAAGGAAACGTGTTAGACACACTGAAAGCACCTCCTCGCCCCTTAAACAGAAGGAAAGACCAAGAAACAGGCAGGGAAGAGAACACTAATAAAGCCTCCTCTTTCCTCTCCATAAGCTGTGCTTCTGATTCGACTCTTAGGAACCAGTTACTTGACTTGACACCCTTAAAGCTAGTTAACAACCAGCACTGTGCTATTTCCAAAAAAGCATCAGTATGATTTGCACTAACTTAAACGAAATACCACTCACCTTACTACAGGATAGTAACAAAACTGGACTCTTAGTATAGCTATTTTCATACAAATTATTTTCTGTTGTTGTCTCCTGGCCACTGTAATATAATCCAGGTTGGAAGTCTTCCTCATCTGCTAAGAAGAGGGAATAATCTAGTCCTGCTGCTGTACTCCAGACACCATCACCACACACCTGAAATTCATGAGGAAGGAAAAGACATTAGAAATCATCACCTGAAGCCAGGAGAGGAGAATATTGAACTCTTCTAGCCCCACATGCACATAATATACCTGCCAAGAAAATGTATTGAAATAACCGGTAATTTTTCAACTTCAGCATCTTGTAACAAATACATTTCTTGCACATATATTGAAAATTATCCTTCTTTCCAATGGCTGATTTTTTCCCTTTAAATTACAAATCAGTTTTGTTTTTAAATGGGTATGAGGTGAGCTTGATTAAAGTTGGGACACTATTCTCCCCTCTACATTTAACTGGGAAATCTATAAATTAGGGACAGCTAACGTGCTATACATTAATTTGCATAAAGCCTAAGCAGGAAAATTCTGCAGCTGTTTTCCACTAAGACAAGCACCAGAAAACAGGCAAGGGTCTGAACTAACCCAAAAATCATTATTTGGCTATTCACTCAATGCAACGAGAAGCTCAAAAGAAACAGAAACCCCACTGCCAAAACAGCTCTGGAAATACAGAAACAAGCAACAAATATAGTAATGGTCTAGCAAAGCTAAAAATGCTAGGAGAATGTTCAGCATAAAAACAGTGTTCCAGTGTATTTAGAAGTTTCAGCACTGCAACATCAACATCAGAGAAACCAAATATAACGTAAAAGTGACATTTGATAAGAAGATACCATCAGTCCCACTTCTCAGTTTTAGAACTCCAGTGTGGTCAAAAACCAATGGAAGTCTGTGTAAAGGATTTCTTGGGTAGATTTTCAGTAAGCTCATCTAAGGATCACATTCACAGTATAAGCCAAAGAAATCAAGCGCTCTATTAGTATACAACACACAGATCCATAAACAAGGTCAGTTTTAGAAATCGCTTTGCACTCACTTGCATAAGCAGAGATCACAAACAAAAAGAAAACTACGGAAAAGAGAAAGTACCTTTGCAAGACGAGGGACTGTTGTTGGGGAGCTCAAGTGACCAAGCTGGCCACAGATATTACTGCCCCATGAATACACCTGTAAGAAACACAGCCAAACATTAGAATGTGAGTTTATATACATGGACACATACTGAATCATACTAATACAACACACCAAGTCTGCAAGCACACAGAAGTTAAAGGTATAAGATTCTTTTACCAAGAAACACTTCCCTAATTTCCACTGTCTTCCCATATTCTCAGTTTGTCTTCTCATGTTCAGAAATGGAATGCAACAAATCAAGTCACTGCAGTCTTTAAACATAATGTTGATGATACATGCAGAACTTCAGCAGTAATAGAATTAAAATTGCACAGTGCTTCCAATTTGCCTCCCACAAACAGAAACAGAAGTTTAGAAGCAAAAGAAACAAAAACCTAGCAAACACCAAACATTATGATTATGTCATAGATAAGCAACAAATTATAACAATTACTTGTACCTGGGATTTGGCAGTGAGTGCTAAGGAATGATGGCCACCAGCAGAGAGGTGAATCACTTCTTTACCATCTAAGCTTTTCACACATAGTGGCTGAAGCCTGTTAATCCCAGCCAAGGGAGGAGAAAAAAGATTAGAGGTATTCTTAAAACAAAAATAAATCCCAAGGGTTTTTTTCCTCAAAAGAAATTATAAAAAACAAACATACATGGAGTCTTTTGGTAATAAACCAGCTTAGTCAAAAAGGTCATGAAGGGCAAAAGTCAATGATATACCTCACCCCAATTTGGACAAAGTCAAAACATCACCAAAATTCCTAGTGATTACAAGGGGGAAAGTCATAACTGATTAACATTCAGTAACAATACAGCATAAAACATGTTACTTGGAGGAACTCAGGTCACAACACAAAAGAACAAGAACACAACACAAGGCAGTTGCCTGAATAGGAGAAAGCTGAACACTCAATTTCCTAGTGACCTGCTAAAAAGCATTTATCAAAGAAATCTCACCTTGGCAGAACATCGCCATGTCCTAGCTGTCCTTCCTTTCCCTTTCCCCAGCTCCATACCTCTGTTCTTAGAGAGGGTAAAAGAGCATCAGCCTCACCACTGTAGGTTGGAGTCAGAGCTACTGTCCTCATTTTCGCCCGCCCTACCTTCCGTAATAGCCTAGGAGAAACTGAACAGGCCAAAAGACAGAAAAATTGCTCATCATTTTAGGCAAATACATCACTCAGCCTGTGTGTTACACAGTGACAGTACCATCTGAGATAACCAATCAAGACTTCTTAAAGAGATCTTAATTAAGATTGAGAGCAAAGGCTAACATGCAAGAAGACAGGTTACTGATACACAGAAGTAACATGTGCTACAAGTAGACAGTTCACAATTAATTTTTACCAGCTATTAAAGGATAACAGGCATATGAGAACTATACAGTTATACTGAAGCAAATGAACCAAAACACGCTATACCTTTTAAAAAAAAGTATGTTTGAAAGAAAAATATCCGTGCAGTGAATAAAAGATTTCAGTACTTCATCAAATCTCACCTCAGATCCAAGATCAATATAGAACTAAACCACATACCCACCCATTCAGAGCAATTAACAACACTAGAATCTATGACATTATCTTTGAAGTTTGGCAATGGGAACAGGTATATTTCTAGGTTCCTGGCTCAAAACCAGCTCAGTACAGTAGGGATTACAGGCCACACAAATTTTTATCTGCTGTACAACATATATGAAAGATAGTTTGCCATCTTTTTGCAATAAGACGCCCAGACTACCACGATATGCCTACTTTACCAATAGAGAACATTCCTAAACTCCCTTGTGCTTTTGGGTTTCTTTGCACACATTATCTGCTAGTCTTCACTCCTGCCACTGCCTTCAAGACCTAAGATACAGTTTATAATTCATAAACACCTTTGGTAGACTGCTAGGTTTATGTTCAACAAATATTTTCAGTTATAAAACTCCACATTATAATAACTTTTCCAGTCTCTTGGTTTTCCCAATGTGCTTTTTTACCTTGTGACAACAAGCCAGGCAGGGAAAGTCTTCGACTCCCTCCTTCAGACTCTTCCTCTCTGATATCTACTAAACTGGAACTCTTCTTCCCCTGCATGGATTCCAGTCTGACCTGCTCTTCTCGACTGTCCTTCAGAGCTTCAGGCCCTGGGGAACCACCACCAGATTGAGATCCTGGTTCACCTGAAGGTGTGCCATAGAAGTTCATTACTTTCTTCAGAGACAATGCTCCAGCTTCATATGTAGCAGCTACTCTCACACCAACTGCTGACGCACATGAGGCCACCAAGCTGTTCAAGGCAGAAGTGCTGGTACCTGGAGGGCCAGGGATACAAGCACTCAATTGTTCCTCTTGAGAATGCTAAAACCAAAGAAAAATTTAAGACTATAATACCAGACAGCACATAACAATAGGATGATAATATACACATTCACTATTCAAACTATGTGCTATACTGAACAAGACATTATGAGGAAGCTTTTTATACTTACGGATACATCTGTTCCTCAAAATCACATTTTTCAAGGCAGGACCAAGCACCATTTAATTTCTACACGGACTAGGCTTTGTCTGTTGCATTTGTCTTGTAGCTCATCCATAAGAGACTGGGTCTTTTTTTTTAAATACCAAAAGAAAATGGATCTTTGCAAACAAATATAAAAGGGATCTAATTTTAGGCTTATCACCAACTTCTTCGCCAACAATTAAAGTGCAACAGCGAGCATGCTGTATTTACAGAAAGTATGTTCTCCCTTTGATATGTTAAAGGAAAACAGTGATTCATGGATTCATTTCGCAACATGTATCTTCAGACAAGCCTGGGCCATGTGTCCCCTTACACTATTGTTGTATCCATATAAAGCTTAGTTAACAACCATCAAGTCACTCTATGGACAAACTGGCTGAAGGCAATTGTTAGTACCAGCACATGATTACCTACAATAGCAATCAATTTACCCACCAAATAAGAAATAATGCACGAGACTGTATTTGCCAAATAGTTTTATCTTAGAACAAAGACAGCAAAGTCCCACTTTCCCACCTAATACATGGTGGGTGCTAAGAAATACTAGTTGATTATCTTAAATAAGTTTTAAATAGAATGAATCACTTAGAGGTGTAAGGTTGTGTGATTTAGTATGCTATTTACTTAGCAAGTAGCTAGATTTGCTGAAGCCTAAGGCCGCATGCCATAACTTTCCACTTAGGTATGCTTTTCCTCTTAGTAGCCGGCACAGTGCACTGTGTTTTGGGTTTTTTAGTGTGAGAATAATGTCAATAACACTCTGAAGTTGTGATTATGGTTAAGTGTTATGGCTAAGCATTTATCCTAAGTCTGGAACTTTTTATCCTAAGTCTGGGTCTTTTGCAGTTTCTCATATATTCTGCTGAAAAAACAGACTAGAAGATACAGAGGCTTCAAGGTTACAACCATCAACAGCAGGTGCAAGAACAATTGATGACCTGCCTAGACACAGAAAGAATCCAATGAGATGTTAGAAGACCCCCCGACTGAAAAATTATAATTTGACCAAAGATGCATGGACACCGTGTGAACAGCACGTGAGGGGTGGGTGAAGGGACGTGTGAACAGCACGTGAGGGGTGGGTGAAGGGACTGTAAGGGTATAATTGTGTGGGAGTTTCTTGGCTTGGGGTCTCTGGAGCCACCCAGCTTGAGCTGAACCTGCTCCTGTGCCATTTAAAAATTATATATAT